TACATAACATAACATGTTGATTTCTTAATAATTAAAGTGAACATGAACACACACCCGATTCATGTTCACTGCACCCACTACAGAACTTTTATTTTCAAATTAACCACCTTGCTCATCTCTCTTTTTTTGAGGGTACAGTTTACACCCAATTCATGTACAATGTACAGTAGAATACATTTAATGGCCCGTCACTTAAAGGATAAGGATTATTGTTTGTAATGTCAATTAAATTGCAAATGTTTAACCATAACATTTCACCAAGATTACATTTGTTAACAAAATCTCTCAAATCATTGACTGAAGTGATGGGACAGTTGTTTACACTAACGATGACATCCAAAAAATGAAAATCATTTCTACAATTAAAAGTAATTAATTATTAGATAATTGATTAAAACAACAAAAATAATTCATATTTACTCGTTATTAGTCAACATTATTGCGGTCACAATAACACCGGTATCTATAGGTATAGGAAAGTCACCGAAAAACAAGTACTTCATCACTGCATCCCATGTTTTGACCGCAATTCCCAACGATTTGTCCGCAATATATGTGTACTTCTTGTTCACGGCTTGTGTTTCAAACGACAAGCCGTCGGCAATAAACTCTTCAATAAAATACAAACAAAATACAACTCATATAAAAACCAATATATCATAACCATTAAAACATGTGTTGTGTTATTAAAGCAAATCATACCTTTTAATAACATTGAATTAACGGAAAGATTCTCTCTAAATATGTTGAGTCCACTGGAGTTGATGCCAACCACCCGTCCATTCATATCAATCAACGGCCCGCCGGAGAAACCAGGAAATTGGGCGCAAGTGTGCTGTACGTGACGGACATACGGATCAGTCGGTGTCATGTAATACGTGTTTGTGGCCAAAGATACCAAATAATTGTCAACGACAGCGACCACACCGTCTGGCGCTATGGTGTACGCGATTTCCGGATTGCCTACAATGAGCACCGGTTGGCCCGCATTTAGCGGCCGCTCTTCGATATCGGCAACAGTGGTCAGAGCAGTCAACTCGTCGACGGGCTTAAGAAGTGCCAGATCTAGCCGGGGGTCGACGTAAACCACACGAAGTCGGGGCGTATTATAAGCCAAAGGCCGGATGTCGTCGTGCATAAAATGGCTAAATATGCGGACCCGTATAGCGCGCGACTCCCCGACCACATGACAATTGGTCACTACATAGCCGTCGCCGTTGACCACCACTCCTGTGCCGTAGCTTTGAATCTGACCCCTAATACAGGTGTAACCGACGAGTGAATATATTTTGACCACTTTGTTCACAAACCGCTCGTTGATCTCATCGATGGTCAGATTGTTGTTATTGTTGCCATACATACGAGCGGTTCTCGCCATAAAATTTGATCTCTTTTGGTGATTATCTGTGGCCACAATTGGTTTTCCTTTATATTTATTGTACAAATAGTTGCCATAAATTGTTGCCAATACTAGCGAAGTACTGTTTGACAATTGAATTGTAAATTAATTAAAAATTTAAAACAAATTATAATTTTAATAAAATGTTTGATAAATGATTGCCTGTTATTGTGTTTCACCACAGAATTCAATAGTCTGTACATTAGGTTTGCATTTAATTAATTCACAATATATTGAGAATACGGACACAAATAGACAAAATAGTTATCATTGGATTGGCTTTGATTGTCATCTCTCGAAAAAATCGTTGGAAAATAAATAAAGTTATTTTTGTTAACTAATTGAATGAATAAATTGATTGTTAACTAGTTTACGCGTTGTTTGAATTCATACATATTGTTCATAAGTAATTATTTGATTTAATTGAATAAAACTTTTTTGAGGCATACATTTAAATGGGATATAAATTCATAATAATTATAATTAACAAAAATACATTTTTAATATCACATATAATTCAATTCAAGTTATTATTTGTTGCAATTTTTAAAAAGTTTTTATACACAGAAATGTCTACAATTTTGTTTAAAAAATAGTTTTATACAAACTAAATGTAAAGCAAAATGAGATTTAAATAAATACGTAAAAATAGATTTGAATCAAACAAATAGAAAATATCAAAAAATAATAAATAAAATAAAGTCTAAAATTGATTCAAAAGTTGTGAATTGATGTGAAGAGCCATAAAATGGAAGCCAACACTATATGACACCAATTGTCGGCCGCAGTAAACATCACGACCAGAGACGACATACCGGCGCTCTTCCCGTGTTGTGTTACCGGCGCTGGCGTTTCGGGATTCGCTGTTGTGGTCGTATTGGCCGCTCCCGGGGCTACCGATCCCGGAGATGCCGCTCCCGCCGCTGGGGGTGTGGTCTCTGATTGGGAACCGTCTCCGGATCTAAATTTCGGTCGCGACTGACGAGGCTTTCCATCAATAGGTATACCGCGAATCCGTTCGTTACCCGAGTTACCACTGTTTGTCCGATCACTTGGACTCTTGCCATCGCCGCTACTGTTCTTACAACCAAACAGTTCCCGATTGTCTCTCCACTCCTGACACCCGTTCACTCCCACTACCGGTCGGTAACAGTATTTGTCGCGTCGGAACAGATATACGAAATACTTGGCCTTTTGGTTCATGAGTCTGAACGCCACACACGCCGTCAGATCGGGCGGAAACTTCTCGCCATAATTGCCGCCGACGTATCCCTTCTTGTAGTCGCCGATGGGCTCAAAGGTGTGGCTAAAAGCGTCCCAATAAAACACTCGATCCTTTTGAAAGCCTATGAGTCGCGGGTGTTTGAAGCGCTTGTCATCCATCCCGCCGTCATTGAGCACACAATCGAAGCCACCCTTCGGAATGCCATACCATGTCTTCCCAGTGTCTCCGCCGACAACGTTCTCGCCGTCTCTGTCCCACTCCCAGAGCCTATCCTTTTCAAACTTGAATGTGTATCCGCTGTGAGTGCCGTTAGTGAGGGTCACAATACTGCTGAACCGATTCACNAATACTAACTTATAATATATGAAATCAATGTAGAATTAGAATATTGTAATATCATCTAGATTAGGTGCATAAATTTTTGCTAATTTCTCGATACTATTAAATTTTAAATAGAATTATTCAAATAAGCCATTACTCTGCCCCCTTTGCACTTCAAAACACCACCACCAATCCTAGATTACGACCACGAGTTTAATTTCATCTCACACTAACTCTAACAAATTGAAATTACAAATAATAAATTAAAATTACATAAAATCTATGCAACCCATTAAGATGATATTACTATATTCTAATTCTACGTTAAAATCTACATTGATTTCATATATCACATGTTAATATTGGATAAGTTAAAATTTCCGATAAAAGTGGTCACTGCAACCGAACCCGAAGTCGGACAGCCATATATGAAAGATCAATCGACTTCTTATTTAACATAGTTTCATATCACATAACATAATACGTTAATTTGTTAAATAATTGAAGTAAATCTGAACACAGACACAGTTCGCACCCACTTCGCATTCACTTCGCACCCACTTCAGAACCATTATGAGCAATAATTTGCTACTAACATAGACACCTTGCTCATACTACCTATCCAGTCATATGTGAATTAATCAAACTTTGAATTTTTATTTTTGTGCTGCTAAGCAGCGCTTAGGCAGATATATTTTAACATTGTTTTGCTTTAAAATAAGTTAAAGAAAATAACAAAAATTGTTCAAATATTATTTTAATGATTTCATTGAAAATTTATAATACATTATATTTTTGTTATTATTAATTTGTCCCATCAATATCATACAACCCTTTTTAAAATTAATCTATTATTAATTAATTACCGAAATAAATTAATACACCGTATTTACCATTAGTGAATGCTATTTGATGGCCTGAAATACGATGATGGTCAGCTGATCCACGTAACACAGAATATATCTGCCAATCTCGTGGTACACACATTTACTACCAAAATGCTTAGGGTAGGCAAAGCACAGCCACTTTCCGTCCGGATATTTGCCCTCCATTTGTTCCGAAATGGTGTTCACAAAAGCCCACTCTTTATCATCATTACTATCGATGGCCTTAAACACAATGTCCGTCACAACCGATACCATCGATGCATTCATATCTGTCTTATATATGTCTAATTTACGGACAATTTTTTTATGCTCGAGTCGGGCCTTCAATACTTTCCAACTAAACTAATAATACATATCATTGTTATTGTCGTATACAGCAAAAAATAAATATTATTCAACTAAATGAATTACCCTCATGGAATGAAATACTTTGAATGTGATGGGGGTAAATTTTACATCCATATAACAACCTGGTTCGTATGTATAGAAACTGTCATATTTATCATTGGTGCTCCATTTGGCCGTACAATACCAATCGGTGCCGAACTCGAGCTCCATGTCATAGACAACTTGTTTACACACATCGAATAGTGTGTTATGTTTTGTCAACATTTCCCTAATTATGGCCAGTGTTTTGTCGGTCATATCGGCGCTCATTTCGTTGGATTACACTACCGGTGCCGACAGGTGTTGTCTACATTCGTCAAGTAGCTGCCGGTCAGACTGAGTGGAATGCATATAATCATGATCTTTTGTTAAGATATTATTCACCACTTTCAGTGACTCGATTTCTGTCCGCAACACTTCGATACAGTCGTGACCCGGTGTCTGCATGCCATCACATTTCGGACATGGTGCGTATTTATAGCGACAGTTGCCTGTATGTTGAAGTAGGCCATCGAGTTTGATCACATCGCGGCACCCGTTGTCCCAATAGTCGCACCGAATCCTAAAACGACCCAAAGTGTTGGCCATTGCTCTATGAGGGTATTGTAAATTAACTTATTTCATTTTTATTTGTTAACTATTATAAATTTATTATTATTATTATTATATTCATAGCATAAAAATTATTAATTTAGTGATATTAATGTGGTTTAATTATCTACCAAACTGACCTTGGTGATGGAGACACTTGACCTGGTGTTAATGGTTTTCTATCGTAAGGACAGATAGTGTTAGTCTGAAGCCATTGAGTGATACAGTCCTCGCAAAACGTCTGCCGACAACACGTTGTGCTAACCGGAGTGTTAAATATCTCATGACATATACCACACGTGTAATCTTCCCGATCTTCGGCCGATAGGTCGGGGAACCGGTCCCTCACATATCCCGGCATTTAAACCACAAAAATATATTTAATATTTACAAAAATATTTGGCAATTATTTTTTGAATTAGAAAACAATGCCTTCTATTTCATATTGTAAACTTGTGCTCTCTTATGAGGATTAACACACAATGAAAGTAAAAATTTACTACATAGTGTATTTAGAGTTATAATTATCTGATTTTAGTCATTATGATAATTGTGTGATAACAATGATAACTTATCAATATGTACTGTATGAGGTGATCGCTTATAATCATACTGATTGGTCATTTTAATGATCATGATCAGAGAAGATAGTGAATAGATTGTTGTACCGTACATTTATTTGTAAATATTTTAAAACATAAGTGTGCAAAACATTTGATTCAAAGTGCAATGAATTTGTTGAAAATTACTTTTATTTTATTTGTATTTAAATCATGTAATTATTGTAATTGAATATTAAAAATATTAAAATCACAATATTATAATGATGATAAACTTTTTACAATTTTCACTTCATTCATTATTTATTAATTACTCTCAAGATAAAATTAACAATCTTTGTCATTACTTCTATCAAGATCATATTTTAATGTCTATGTAAAAAATATTTTATTAACATTTCTCTTGCATTAAAACAAGTTTTAAAAATCTCAAAAATTATTCAAATATAATTTTAATAAACTCATTGAAATATTATTTCACTTAAACATGGTTTTGATTTAGATTTTTGGGAGTAGATTCAAAGAACTAAATGTAAAAATCTATATAAATTGTGGAGACATTTGATGATCAATAGTCTTGATGGAGAGGAGTTTAGTGATCTCGGTAGTCAACTGTGCGATTTCGCACCTGAGCTTCAGGTTTTCCTGTTTACGCCTCCCGAATCGCTATCTCGTTCTCTTTGGCCCGACGGGTCTCGCGCGACAGCTTACGCATAATGCGGGCCTTTAGTACTTCCAAATCCAACTAGGTGAATTAGTAATTTAATACAAAAATGAATAAAACAAATTAATAAGTACAATATAAGAAAGTAATAAATTATTAAAATACAAAACAAAGCAATTATGACAATAGGTGTCCAATTATAATTGTTTAATGTTGACAATGATTACCTTTTTAGAATAAAACAGAGTGAACGTCATCGGGGTATATTTGACTTTTAAATACGTGACCATGGGCGATTTAAAATATGCTACACTATCGCCGGTTAAGTCGGCCAAACAGTGCCAATCGGTGCCAAATTGGAGGTCCATATACTGAGCCACACGTTTGCAAACCTCATAAACGCTACTTTGTTTGCGCAACTGTTTCCTAATTATCGATAGTGTTTTGTCGGTCATATCGGCGTTCATTGTGTTGTATATGTGTCGTCTACACTCGGCCAGTATCTGGTCGTCAGACAGCGTTTGATTGTGTATTGACAAAATACCATGATCGGAATTATTACCATGATCACTTTTCTCATCATTATTAGAGAGTTTTAATGCCAGGATGTCTGCCCGCATAGTTTCGATGCAGTCGTGTCCCCAAATGTGAACGCAATGGCATTGTAAACATTGTGTCCGCTTATAGCGACAGTTGACTGTATGTTCCTTAAGATCGCTTTGTCTGATAACTTGACGGCACCCGTTATCCCAATACTCGCACCGTTTGGTAATATTGTTATTATCTTTGGCTGACATTTACACTCTATCAATAAAATAGTATAACATTATTATTAATTGTTTATTAATTCAGTTTGACATTAATTATGTTTAAAATTTATTTCACTTACCTATTGATTAAATACTTTTTAGATTAAATTAATTATTATATTTTTATTTAAACTATCAATTATTTTGGCGAGAGTTGTCCGAACACATGTCGATAAAGCTGAGATATAGTTGCTCTGGAATAAGCATAAACTTGTGTCCATACAAATAACAACTAGTTTTAATAATTGTGTTTTGATTGTGCTCTCGTATGTTTGACACATTATGGTAATCGTCTGCTATTTTATTTGTTGATCAGTATTGTGATTGGTCAATTTACATATGAAACTTAACATGATAGTTGAGTAATGGTCAATTGAGTTAAGCAAATTATTCAAGGACATACACTCAAAATATAGTGTAACTGGGAAAGCGTTTTGTCGAATAGCTCGAAAACGGCTAATTCGATCTTAAATTAGTTTTCACTAAATTGTAGCCTGATAATGCGAGAATCGATTGGTATATAATATAACAAAATTATACAACGGAATACCTATGTAATTATAGATTTAAAATTAAATTATTTTACATGAGTTTCAATGCAATTTTAGATATCATTCAATAACATTAAGTCAATGAAATTCATTTACTGAAAATGAGTATTTGGGAGCGAAATAACTCGGTAACACTTAAAAATAGGTATAGGTAATATCAATTATGAATGGTCAGAAATCTTATCTTCTGTCCAACAAAACCGAGATCAGGCTTTATTGACCTTCCTAGGTGGCGCTAGAGTCGGAAACACACTTTTGGTTATTTTCCAGAAAATAGGGAATTCTCGGTGTCGGGATTTTGGTAAATTGTGGTATCCTATGACTTGTATCCGGAAACCAAATTTCAGCCTTCAATGACTTCTGGTGGGACCATAATCAAATTTCTCGTGTTTTAGACTCTAGCGCCACCTAGGAAGGCCACTAAGGCCTGATCACGGTTTTGTTGGACAGAAGACAAGATTTCTGACCATTCATAATTGATATTACGTATACCTATTTTTAACTGTTACTGAGTTATTTCGTTCTCAATACGCATTTTAAATAGAAAATTTGCATTAATGCTATGTAAAATCCCATGTAAAATAATTATATTTTAAATCTATAATTACATAGGTATTCCGTTGTATAATTATGTCATATTATATACCAATCGATTCTCGCATTATCAGGCTACAATTTAGTGAAAACAAATTTAAAATAGAATTAGCCGTTTTCGAGCTATTCGACAAAACGCTTTCCCAGTTACACTATATTTTGAGTGTATAAACAGGGGATGGGTTGGTTAATTAAATTATGCTAAATGATATTATTATAAACATTTATATTTTAATTCACTTTATAACATTATTACAACAAATAGTAAATATATTAATTAATTTTTACATAAAATACATTTTTGTAATAATTATTTCAAATATTATTTACAGAATGCAAACAAAATTATTCCTTATATGTTAACGAGATTAGTATTAGGAACTTACTGTATTAGCAACTTTATTTTACTAAATACAGTATAAAATAAATGATTTAATATAATTAATTAAACATTGAATTAGTATAGATAATAATATAAAATAATAATAAATTGATAAAGAAATTATAAGAAAATTTGCATATACATTCAGATTTGTTCACTTATAATTAATACTAAATTGTAAATAAGGCCACAATCAACTGATCCACATAACAATGAATATACATTCTGGAATATTTTGTGGTATAATTGCCACC